ATATATTAAAGCAAATTATTTTGCAAATTTATTATTCTAATTTTTATTTAGAAAGACTAAGATTAAAAAAGACGTATGAATTTTTTCAGATATTTCTATTGAAAAAAACGCCTCAGATAAAACTGACTTTCCTGTATATTTTAAATGTGCCAAAAGATTTGCTCTTTATTCCACTTACTGCAATAATGTACACTAAAAATGACAGATCTATATTAAAAATGATAGATCTATATTTAGTTGTTGGAAAGAAAGAGAGAAGAAAAGTGCATCTAGAGAATTTAAAAGAATAAAAAACAAATCTAAAAATAATAATACATAAAGATTCATATTATGTATTTTTTTCATGAGGAATGTGAGGCGCACATTTATGCATTTATTTATTTAAATGAGATTTACTTTGGAGCACATTCAGTATTCAACTTTAATTTTATTTTCTCTTTCTTATGATATATAATTATAACATAATTACTTGCAAATGCTATCATTTTTGTGTGCTTACAGTGATACAGAAACAACATTACGAGTACTATATTTACAGATAACATCTGTATAATAAAAAAAGCACCAGTCTAATGGTGAAAAAAGGGTAAATATTGTAGACCAGCATAAGTATCAACCAATTATTTCACTGCTCTGTTTCATTAGAGTTGCAATTTTCTTTTATAATATCATAAATATTATAAATAAGATAGAGATTTCCATACGTTTCAAATAAATTTATATATTTTATGTATGTAATACTGCGCACACATATTAAAAGGTGATAATATCGCAGTTATAATAAGATACAATCCTGGCAATGTAGCGATTTTTGGATTCTGAAAATAATTTAATTTGATTTATTTTTGAGAAATGCGCACAATACTTTAGAACAAATTATTTTTGTGCCATGTATTACCTGTGTAAAATTCCACACGCAGTATCATATTGTCTGCGATATATGAAAAGCTTCATCGATGAAATAAATGGTTGAATATGATTGAGATATAAGAAAAGTACTTGTAATGTAATAACGTTAATATAGTACTTGTATATACAAATAATATAGTACTTGTAATGAATAACGTTAACGTGGAATACATAAATATTTTATATTTTAATTTCATATAATCGAGATGAGATAAGACACTCATGATTACTTTAAAAATGTGTCCACAAATATCATGTAACTTCAATAGCTGCACATTCGTCAAATTAATCCTATTACTTTAAATGAATCACAGCAGCTTGTTTTAATTTAATCTAACCTAACCAATTATATTATATGCTTCTCATTAAAATGTGTAAAACTGTACGTCGCACATTTAATACGATTAATATACTACGTAATAAAATGTAATACACTAATGAAATAATTAAATATTATTTTTAAAAGCATGATACAATCCAGGCAGCATACGCTTGTATTTACATTCGACATCCAAAGACAGTGGTTAGGTTAGGTTAGGTTAGATCAAACAAATTTATCGTTTAACAGTTGGCAGCCCTACAAGATAGGCTGTGCAGCACTGCGCGTATATAAAATAAATTTGAAATCGCTTCTAGCATAACCATCTTCACGCGATCGACTTTATTTGAATTGCACGGCATCGCATCGAATTATGATGCGGCGCCGATTTGTTTGAACGTAATTCGGGACATCGCGATGCTGTATAAGCGTTGAATTGTCACGCAAATATGATAATAAATCACATCTACTCACCGTTCACCGGCTGTTCCACAGACCGCTCCTCCTCGGGACAGTTCGCTCACCTCGGGACGTCCCATTCCGATCTTGATGCACACGATATCATCAACGCGAACGCGCGACACTTTATTCGGCACTCCCGATATTCGCTCGCATCCGATAATCATCATCAAGGGCGCGAATAACGCGACGCAACTTCGCTCCATCTTCGCGATGACGCCATCACTGAATATTGTCAAAAATCGCTGTCGCGCGTTTCCATCGACACACTATGAAAGTCGCGCGATCATCCTTGGACACTCTCGACGCTCTTTCAGTCGCGATATTCGTTTAAAAACGGTTAAAAGACGCGAAAAATGCGGACGTTCGACGATCCGTGTAACTGCGTATGACTCGATTCATGCGCCAACATGGCGGCCGTATGACGCGTTTGACGTAGCAGTGACGTAGCAGTGACGAAACAGTCACGCGCCAACATGGCGGCCGAACCACCTGTTCCTGCGCTTTCGTTTCTGCGCACGGCCATTCCTGCGCGCAACTTTGATTTCTGAATATTGTCTACAGCTTTAAATAATAGCACATAATGATAAATATATAAAGATGGAATCAATTAATCATATTGGTCATATATGTAGACTTGCCTGAAGAAAGAGAGTTGTTCTCGATGTTCACTTTTAAAGGAATAAAGAGAATTATATATAAATGTAAATAAATTATCCGAAGAGAGAAAAAATTGAGAGAATTTTTAATTTTTTAATAAAAAATGGAAATGTCTATTCATAGGCTTGTTCTTCTTTTCCTCTTTTGTGCAATTTCGATTCAATATATAACGTAAAATTCATAGTATATTGCATTTATTTTTATATATTCACAACTATAATATTAGCGCGATCATTTTTTGACATTTACAATACTCGTGTGCCTTGTTCTCGATGTTCACTTTTAAAGGAATAAAGAGAATTATATATAAATGTAAATAAATTGTCCAAAGAGAGAAAAAATTGAAGGATATTTTTAGTTTTTTTAGTAAAGGTTGGAAATGTCTATTCATGATAGAAATGCAAAGAAAGAAAATTATTATGTTTAAAATAATAATTTCATATGAAATACAACATTAAAAGTTACATTATAGAACTTGACTTTCTAAAAGCGTAATAAAACAATCAAATAGCAGACAGAGAAAAGATTAATTGTAAAAGAAAAAAAGTTGTTAACTTAACTAAACCATTTAACTAAATTATTACCTTTTTAACTGGAATATTTAACTATTATAAATCTAACCCTAACAGCACACATGTCCGAAAGATATCCAAAGGATATCCATAGGATATCCATAGGAGATCGGGATATTCTATGGATGTCCTTTGGACATCTTTTGGACATGTGTGCTGTTAGGGAACATGATATTTATTTAACTTAAATATTTCAATATTTCAATTTAAAAAATAATAATTTAGTTAAACGGTTTAGTTGAGTTAACAAAAACTTTTTTTTCTCAATGTACGTGTGTGTGCGAGACTTTAAAAATATACTTGGATATAAATACATTTATATTATTAAACGATTAATATATCTCGTGAGGTTTAATAAATAATTAATCTGTGTACACTGAGAAAAAAAGTTGTTAACTTAACTAAACCATTTAACTAAATTATTGTCTTTTTAATTGGAATATTTAACTATTATAAATCTAACATGACATTTATTTAACTTAAATATTTCAATATTTCAATTTAAAAAATAATAATTTAGTTAAACGGTTTAGTTGAGTTAACAAAAACTTTTTTTTCTCAATATATGTGTGTGTGTGTGACTTTAAAAATATACTTGGATATAAATACATTTATATTATTAAACGATTAATATATCTCGTGAGGTGTAATAAATAATTAATCTGTGTACACTGAGAAAAAAAGTTGTTAACTTAACTAAACCATTTAACTAAATTATTGTCTTTTTAATTGGAATATTTAACTATTATAAATCTAACATGACATTTATTTAACTTAAATATTTCAATATTTCAATTTAAAAAATAATAATTTAGTTAAACGGTTTAGTCGAGTTAACAACTTTTTTCTCAGGTACGTGTGTGTGTGTGTGTGTGTGTGTGTGTGTGTGTGTGTGTGTGTGTGTGTGTGTGTGTGTGTGTGTGTGTGTGTGTGTGTGTGTGTGTGTGTGTGTGTGTGTGTGTGTGTGTGTGTGTGTGTGTGTGTGTGTGTGTGTGTGTGTGTGTGTGTGTGTGTGTGTGTGTGTGTGTGCGCATGTGTGACTTTAAAAATATACTTGTATATAAATACAATTTTCACATACGTCACAGTACGCGTTAAATATTTCGGCAGCGAACTAACACGTCATTCGACCTTGTGACGTAGCGCGCTATTGTTTACATACGCGACGACCTCCCCTCATTCGCACGGCGACATTCCAACGGGAGAAAGTAGCGAGCTAATACGTCATTCGACCTTGTGACGTCACGCGCTATTGTTACATACGCGACGACCCCCTCATTCGCACGGCGACATTCCAGCGGTAAAATAGTGATATGGAACGCTCCGTATTATCGAATTCTTTTCCTAAAAGTACGATCGCGATTAGATCGAAATATAATAATTCGACTATTACAATTGACAAATAATTAATTAATAAATGACATGAAATTGTGGCGACGATAAATTCATCGAAACGCGATCTTTCATTATTGCAAATAAAAATTGAAGCGAAAGGGACAAAAATTACAAATTTTCTCACAATATTCTCCGATTATCGAACTTTACGAATAATAATTATTTCTTTAACATTGCATAGAATGAAATTCGATTTCGCCCGATGTTTTAAACTTTCCTAAACTGCATGCATATATATCATATTAATTAAACGCGCGCGCGCGCGATTGCTGTATCATCAATTTACATTACTTTAATATTTTAATCTTATGATTTGCGTTATTATGCATATATTATACATCAACAAATAGAAATAGTTAATTAATGTAAGAATCGAGTGGTGCATGATTTTGGCTTCGTTTAAAAATCGAGCGAATTATTGTAATTTTTGTATTCCTCTCTTGCAATAATAATAAAATAATAATAATATAATAAAAATACGTATCTCGTATGATTATTTTGCGATCGGGAGTGCCGTGCAAAGTGTCTCGCGATCGTTTCTGTATATGACTGAAATATAATTAACTGAAATGTAATTGTTTGTTCGCGAGTGAATACGTGAGTGCTACGAAAAAACAACAAAGGATGAAACAAAAAAAGAGAAGGACATCTGGAAAAGTATCGGACAGTCAGAAAGCAGGGAGAGAGCCTGAAGCAGAGACATGCGGTGAGTAATTTATAAAAATTATTTATTATTTATTATTTATATACACTATTTTTAAAATAGATATATTGCTTATTATTTTATTATCGTTTTATTTTTCGATCATTTAAATATATAATTCGGATTGAAATGCAGTAAAACAATCGAATCGTAGATCTAAATAATTAACTTAACGAAAAGACCCATAAAAGATATATTAGTTCTTTTAATAAATAGTATCGTATACTTAATCTATCTATATAAAAATGGATTATCTATTTATTTCTAAATATTAAATACTATAAATTTAATAGTTATATATTTTGTAAAATTTAATTATAAAAGAATCTTTAAGATATTCCAAAAGAAACGAAGAACTTTTCTCAACGTAGAAAAAGTTAATTATAAACAAACTTATATTTAATTATTATAATTAATTTGTATTTAATTTTATTGGAATTGTATTATTAATTTTATTGCATTGTCAAACTCTACGCGATCTCTGTAATGATAGCTATTCAGGAATTAGGTAATGAAATAATCAATTATTATCGCTGAAAAGAGGCAATAATATACTTTTAAATCTAATTTAAACTTTTGTTAAACGATATAAAATTTTTTTATTATGATGAGAAATCTTTATTAAAGATCATAATTGCAAATAAAAATGGAAATAACTTCACGAAGTTTATTAATCGTTAAATAAATAATTAATCCGTGTGTACGTGTACGTGTACGTGTGTGTGTGTGTGTGTGTGTGTGTGTGTGTGTGTGTGTGGGTGTGACTTTAAAGATATACTTGTATATAAATACAATTGTATATAACTTTAAAAATATATATTTCCGTTATGTTAATTATCCGATTTTTATTCGATCGTTTTATTGCGCGTTCTGAATCAAATTATATTTAGATCAAATAATATCAGAGAGAATATTTATTTATAATATTAAAATTCTAAATGTGTGTGTGTATGTACACATATATATTAGAATAGAAACGAAATAGAAATAGAAGAATAATCATTGCTCGTAAAGATTGCAACAAAGTAATCATTTATAATGTTGATTCCTGTATCGAAATAAGTATTAATTATGCGTTATTTATAAAAGTTATGCATTAGCATTTTGCGTTATTACAACACTCGTGTTACCGACAATTCATGTACGTGTAGCACGGAACACAACCCGAAATTGTGTCTATTATGTGTTACCCACTGAAAACATTCGTAGATATCGGCAGAAGTGCGCTTTCTGGTTGCACTTTCTTCCAGCAGAGGGATACAAGATTTCCTGTTCCTTCCTTCTTGTTTTTCTTTTAATTCATGACGTAAGTTGGTGTATCTTGCAGTGGCGAGATCTTACAATTAATAATAAATATTGATTAATGTAATTAATCTTTTTCACAAATAAGAGTGGCATTTTGTAAAACATTATGTCAGATTAACGTACAATTACTCGTTTCTCTAAATTGTTGGTCAATTTTTAATGATTCCGGCGGATTACTATGACATGTTTCATGTGGCATTTAGCGTTTATAGCGTGACAGTAGAAATGTGTGCATAATTTAATAAATTATATGAACTCAATATTGTTAATAATCTTAAAAAATATCAAGTTTTACGCAAACTTTGCGTCAATTTCGTGTAATTTCTGACAAAATGTTTTCTCACTATCAACTGTTGTACATAACCTCAAAGTGTTCTATTAATTTCATTTCTGTAAACATGCGACTTGTAGAGTTCTAGTTTTTATTTAATATTCGAAGAATATTTGTGTAATTCTTGTTGTATCGTTGCATTATCTCCTTTTTTCTTTTTATAGAAAATGACAAGTAAAGCAAAACCGCCTAAGACGAAGGAAGGTGCTGCGGAAGATGCGCCGGTGACCCTGAGGAAGAGGCCCTTCAAGAGGCACGGACGTCTGTACGCAAAGGCTATCTTCACCGGTTACAAACGTGGATTGCGCAATCAACATGAACATACCGCATTGCTCAAAATTGAAGGAGCCATAACCAAATCAGATTCTGATTTCTACGTAGGAAAACGATGTGTCTATGTATATAAGGTATAAACTACCTTCACATATATTGTTCGTCACATTTAAGTAAGACCGAATTAACTGCAATGACATAAAATATTTCTACAAAATTCTGATTATCAAAATCTTAATCCCGTTATCAATATCTTTATTTATTTACTTATATTTTTTTCCTTAATTTTATGAAATTTAATATTGAACTGTATCTTGATTTATTACTAATTTAGGGATTCCTATTCATAAAAATTATTGTAATAAGTAGCATGTGTATAAACATTGCCACAGGCTAAAAACAAGACTCCAGTACCTGGAAAGACCACGAAGAAAACTAAGATTAGGGCTATCTGGGGCAAGGTCACTCGTCCCCATGGAGCAAGTGGATCGGTACGTGCAAAATTTAAGAGAAATCTACCAGCCAAGGCTATGGGTCATCGTATCAGAATTGTAAGTTAAAATTTATATTTTATAATTTTGTTACAGACATCATATATATACATATTTTACAAATCTCTTATTGAAATATAAAAGCAGAATTTTATACTATTTGCATATATATTCCATTTTAATAAATAATTGTTATAATCAACTGTATTGCATATAACATTATCCCTCAGAGATAATACTAATAATCTTCATTACTAAACCTAATTAAAATTATTTTGTGTTCCAGATGCTGTATCCCAGTCGGATATAAACTCATACTCTTGTATAATATAAGGAAATAAATACCATTTTGGTAACTAAAAGAAATTTGTATTTATCTTTAGTACGCAAATTGAAAGTCTACGCATCGTTTTATTCAGCCTTGATTTATGACACGAAACCTAACCTGACCTAACCTCAAACTTTACGTCATTCACAAAGAGCTTTGGATCTGTCGAAGAGATTTATACTCGTCGTTAAGATACGAGGAAGAATCGTAAAGTATAATATGTGCTTCGTGATAAAAGCTCGTCGAGATAATTTATATTGATCAAAGTTTCTCTCGGACGGGAAGCCATTTTTATGCGGCTTGCTTATGCGTAGGTTTGAACAGTGTCTCGCAACGTCAAGTTTGCGCCAGTCCGTGACTTCCATAAATTTCGGTGAAAATTGAGCGAAAAAGATCGAGAGAGACATCCTAAACGAGAGGAGAGAAAAAAAGAGCGGGCTTTTACATCCCATTCGTTATGATGTCGCGTTCGCTGTACTTTTGAACGAATAGGAAATCCCAAGCGGTGTCGCGGACGATGTTTTGTTGTCTGAGAAACTGCTTCGACGGCCTCGGCTTCGCCGCGACTCAGCCCCCGAAGCGGGAGCGAAATCCCATCGCTCTAGACACGACTCATATGGGTAACTGTCAACGCTCGAACTGTCACGCTAAGTATCAGATGATCTGATTGCTCGAATTAATGACGTGACGCGACGTAACCACGCTAGGGAACCATGCCATATGTAATTTACATGCTACTTTTGCGTATTTATTTTTTTTGACAGAATATCGATATACAATCAATTGCTCAAGATTTCTTATATTTTCGCGCAAAGTAATCGATGCAGAAGCATTCTTGATTCTAATAGGCAATAATCAATTTTTTCAGAGCATTCAGATACTGATTTATATCCTTTCTAGCCTATGTAAATATAAAACTTTGCTTCTCTGAAATGCATTTGATAAGCTAATATTTTTCAAATAATTGTATCATCTATAAATCTACTTCTTAAATATCTTTTATATACTTGATGTATACATTTAGAGTAACAAAGACAGTTTAACTGATAATGAAATATATATTCCAATATTTTTTTATCTTGTATATTTGATATATATTTATTTATATCATACAAAGATAGCTAACTGATATCGTAATGTACTATACTTACTCCAATACTTTTTTTAGGAAATGAAGTAGTAATAGTGAAAAATGGTCTAAGGATATGCGGAAGTGGTGGTGCCTTAACAAATGCTCCTCTTGTCCAGAGCAAAAGTTATTTTGAAGTAAAAATACAGCAAGGTGGTATATGGGGTATTGGACTGGCCAGGAGGGACACGGATCTCAATGTTGCCATTGGAGGAAAAGACTTGGAAAGTTGGGCGCTTAATTCAGATGGTATTATAAGACATAACGAGCAAGAACTCCACAAGATTCAAAATCCTGTACAGGAAGGGGATGTCATTGTACGTATCGTTATTATTTTTTTAAATTTTAACAAGCTTTCAAACAAGTTAATACATTGAGGCTTTAAACAAATCAAAGGAATATGTTTGTAATTTTTAAGCTTCTACTTTGAGGCTTTAAAAAATCAAAGGAATAATATGCTTATAGTTTTTAAGATTTGTATCACAAGCAGAGTCTTGTTAGAATAATTAAAAACTTTTCTTAGGGAGTATCGTATGACCATATAGAGTTGAATTTCTATTTAAATGGGGAAACCATGAATGCTCCAGTTATAAATATAAAAGGACGAGTTTATCCAATATTATATGGTGGGTATATTTACCGCTTTAATGATAAGTAACACGACAATTAATTTTTAATCAGTATTTCACTTTTAGTGGATGATGGAGCCATATTAGATTTAATTCTGGAAAATTTTACCTATTCTCCACCAATGGGCTTTGAGAAAATAATGTTGGAACAATCGTTGCTTTAGCAGAATGACAGAAAATGAAATGTGAAGAAAATGAAATAATTATTGTATTGTCAAAATTTATATTATTCGTCCATTTCACAATTTTAATCATTGGAACTAAGAATAATTAAGCATAACAAATTTCAAATAGAGGAAGACGCTACAATGGCATAGTGTTAAGAAACAATGTCACAAAGTATAAATGTCATAATAATTGCATAATGCGTGGATGTATTTAAACGAAATGCGTGGAATAAGTAATTTGCCTAATATTATATGAGAATATATTTTTTGAGTCATACAGAAGGAAGAGACTTATAATAAAGATAGATTTTACATAACTGAAAGAATTCTTCGGATTTATTAAAATTAAAAGGTTTACAACATTAATCAAATGGATTAGATTCAGTTCTATTTCGATCTGCGCGACGTCTATCTTACAATACAATATCTGTATACCTTTATTTGTATAATTGTATAATAATAGATGTAATTACACATAAATATGTGCTTTGTATACATGATTTATTGATCCTTAGATAACTAATGGTATGATATATACAATGACTTAAATAAGGTACCGACGGCTTTAGGCCTATTGTTCGCTTCGTTAGGCTAGTGTCATGGCGTTTCATTAACTATCTCTTTTTCTTTTCATATCTTTTCTCTTGCTACGAGTATTGTATAGTGAACATTAAAGCTAAAGTTTTATCTTTTCTAACATATTGAAAACTTGCACCTCTCTTTTTATATTATTGATCACGTGAATATTTGAACGATTCAATTATTGTGCTATGTGTATATTATGTAAAATGAATACATTTTTAATGAGATCATCAAACTTACAAAATTCTAATGCATCCAAAATAAATCATAGACTATTATTTAATATATTTGAATAGATAAGCATTTTTTCTGATATAAGAATCGATCACAGTCAGATAAGCGCCATTAATAACATGAAAATGATAGCTAAACAAAAACCGTTAAAGTAATTATTTGCGCTTATCGTCAATATGAGTTTTTTCTAATAATTTTTATCTAATAATGTGTATAAAAAGTGTCTTATAATTGTTTGTGCTGCAAGCTTTCTGAGTACTTGCTGAAACATCTTAAATCTTTGGTCCTTAATAGTAAAGAATAGCTTTAAACAATTATTGATAATTTTACACACTTAATATTATGTATTTTATAATATTATATCTATAATATAAATAGGTCATTCGATTGAAATAATGTAATTTTTATATATTATCTCTAGTCTCATTGTCTGCCATAATTAAATTCCTATATACTAAACATAACATAATTGCGCATTTTTGTAAGAATTAATTTTTTTAATTACATAATTTTTATGGCACTCGATTTCCTATATGTATTATTAGATATATTAGATACGTATTGTATTCATTCGAAAGACCATTATTATTTAAGAAAGCCTTTACCTATGCTTTAATTATTAACTAATATAATTAATCACTATATTTTATATTTATATTATGACTTGATGATATGAGATATTTATAATGGTAACATCGCAAGTCTATTGCACTTCCAACTTTAGTTGTTGAATTAGTATTAATTGTGTTAAAATAATATTAACTTAGATTAACTTTAATCTAGGAAATGAGACTATCATCCAATATATTATAATATTGTTTGTGATTAAATTATATAGGCCTGTGATAAAGTAATTTAAATAATTTTCTGATATATTTGGAGGACTTTTAATATAATTTAATTATATCTGCATGTTGAGAGAATACATCTTTTAGGATAAAATAATATTGTAATTAATGAACATCATAGTATTTTCTTATTAATCGAGTGTAGGACCGTTAATCTCTCAAGTAGTGTGTAAATCAATGATTAAAAATGGATATTCTTTTCCCATTTTACAGATCATGATTTACATATAGCTTATAATTAATATTTTATTATTTAAACTATACAAAATGCTAACGTTAGCTTCATATAGCTAACGGAACTCGTTTCAATCATGCCGCAAGTAATTTGATTAAAAAATATATATACTTTTAGAGATATGTATTTACAAAAGTAATTCGAAACCTATGTGTGCATTGGTTTTTAATTACAATATGTGCTACCAATATAAAAAATTGTATAATGCATAAAATTTTACCAAATATCGAAACTATCATTACTATCTCTATTCTTAGCTTCCTGTTATAAATGATAGTGTGCAAAATAATTGGAAATTTTGCATCCTCTTTTTATATTTTTAATCAAAACATAATTTCTTTTTTAAAATGGCTAGAGCTATTTGTGCAATAATTAGTAGCATTTATTACATATATATCTGAATAACAGATATTATAAATTCAATATAATGTATCTTCAATGTAAATATAATTAACCAATACTATTAATTATATTCAACATTCTTGTATTTCAGATTGTAGTTTTGTTGATTTGTATTTTTCTTATGTCTGCAATATCTGTGCTTCTTTCAAATCTTTACATTTTACATAACATTTTATATCAGATATGTACTTAAATAACTTTTTATAACTTATCATTTCAATAATATAAATTAATTCATGTATTAATTCATATGGATATGCTGAATAAATTAAGTTTTTTTTTGAAACGAGAGAATATAAATTTTATGTGTGAAAATATTCATGGAAACACAAAAATAAACTTTTACAAATGATATAAATTAACAAAAAATAATGGTATTTCCATTTTACTTCTAATTATATTATTTTTTTACTTATTTAAATAAAATTATCACTTTTAATATAATATATATTATTATAATATAATAATATATATTATATATATTAAATAATATATATTATATATAATAATACATATATATATATATATATATATATATAAATAATATATATTATATATATTATATATATTAATAATACATATAATATATATTATTTACACAAATTAATACATATGTAAGTTTACTTGCTTCAATATTTCTTATAAAATTATTTATGTAAATTCATAAATGAAAATAGAAACATTATATATATTATATATGAATCCAAAAGATATAAATTAATTCAAAATGGCATAAATATGCGTCCTCAAATTTGAGAAAAATTATTTGGCGCATATGGCAATAATTAAGTTTGCATGTAAATCTTATAAAAAATTTACAGTTTTATTAAAATTATAATTAAAGATATGAACTTATGTGGAAGAACCCTCATAGAGTGTACGATTATTTTATGGATCATAAAAAATTTTTGCAAATATTACATTGCGAATATTAACTTTTGCACTTTTAGCTGCTGATAAAATAGCCTGGTTCATCACAAAGTTCTCGGATTTTTCTTTGGTCTCGTCCAAGTACATTTTCATGTGCTTTTGGTAAATTTTACGCAGATAGCTACGATTTATACAGAAACAATTCTGTTTCAAGAGCATTTCTCTAAGATACTCAAATCCAGAGTAATGGTTAACGTCGAAAAAGATTGCTTATTAATGTACTTACATACTTATCACTCTGTAGTATCTTCAATGACGGAATCCCAATTAAATTCTGTGACACTTTGCCTTGATGATAATTCACCAAGATGTTGGAATCGTTGTACGAAATGTGGATCACGATCTCTAAGCCGTTTAAATCTTTGAAAGGCGAGATTCTTTGCAAATTCGTAGAGTTCCAAATCCAGGCTGTTGAGTTTACGTACAGTCTCCAATTGTTCTAAGCTAAGGGTTGCCATAGTAGCTGCACTAAGTGTAGCATTATGCTGTTCAAAGGCAACCGCAAATCGCATCTTAAACGTTTCTTCAAAGGTATACTGTCCCACCTGATGTAATACAATTTTGTTATTATTATAAAATAATGTATATATATAATCATTAATATTAATATCATATGCATATATTGTATTATTTTTTTCTAATAATAAATATAAATTCTAATAAATATAAATTAAAACAATATATTATATTAATAATATATTTTAATAATGATTTGAATATTCTAACATGAATATGAATTATTATATTAATAATGCAATTGAATATCTGTTGATGCTTAGCTTGTAAGTAGAGATCAAGGCTAACAACTTTAATTGATCTAACTTGAATAATAACAAATCAGAACAAAAAGTTGTTTATGATAGCTAGATAATTGATCAAAAAAAACCATGTATGACGCAGATTATTACATGAAAAAAATACTATATTACATAAAAAAAAGCTTTTAAAATTTATTATAATTATATAGCATCAAATTGAAAAAAATGTAACTTTTTGAAACATAGTATAATAATACATAAAATGTAATAAAAATTATATATAGGGAAGTAACAAATTTTTTAATTTAAGTAACAAATTGTATATAAATGTTTTCATATAAGGACTATTCTTATAATATGAATATTATAAGAATATTATATAACAGAAGTATTACAAATTTATAATAATAATAATAATAATAATAGTAATAAAATGACACAATATAAATTATATATTATTATTTATAAATATATTATTACATACCTTCTGATACTCAGTCAACATGAAGAAAGGCATGTATTGCAGATTGTGCTTAGCACTGGCCAACATTAAACGATCTCTGTCAGTGTTGCTAAGAGTAGAATTATAACAGCCAACTATTGATAGATCTGCCAGCATTCTAGTTTGACGATTACTCGCCAAATTGTAAGGACACGCCATAAACTGCACAGATATAATAATCTTATTGTAAATCAAACTTTCTAATCTATATTAATATTTTTATTCCGATCTTGTTATTTAAATAAAATTTCGTTTTCATTGTTGATGTGAATAATAACAAGTCACAAGCACAATGTACTTATTATGAAAGAGGGCATAAAGTTATCTCACAGGAAATAACTGCATACGAAGTAAAAAAAAAGAGGATTTTATTAAGATAAGAAACTCTTATCTTAATGTATTTCTAGGCATAGAACAACATTGCAGAGCAGCTATTAATCCAAGACATAAGTCTATGTTACAAATGAAAAGTGCAGCAAAGATATTGGCTAAACGTAAAAAATCCTTTTATACTATATAATTGTGCAAAAAATTACCTGTTCTAAAGTGACATTTTTCCAACTGGAGCCGTTATAACATTGGGGTATATTTGCTTGAGTACCTCCACACCAATGACGAGCACCTCTCCATGTAGCACCCCTTTGCACGTGTTTGAATTCGGAGAGATATCTCGCGACGGGATCTCTTATGATAGTTAGGTAAAAGTAACGGCGTTTGATGCCTTCCCCTTCAACTTTATTGAGCTCTGTGTCTACACAATTCGTCAATTCGGTCCAATCCGCGTGTAGACCGCATTTCCAGCCAGTTGAATATCGTGAAAATAACCAGTTTTCGTTTGGACGATTTGGACGGTAACAGGAGCAACGCTTTCGTCGTCGTTGACACAAACACGGTTTTTGTAATTCTAGGTCTCGCACCAGATGTTTTCCAAATAATGTCCCACCTTTCAACAGAATAACAATATTAGATATCTTGCATAAATAACAAACATTTACATTATTAAATTAATCATAAAAGAATTTCTTATGCAACAATTTATTGGTAAATTTTACCAATTTTTATTAATATTTATTATATATAAATATGTATATTTTAATTTCTTTTAATTAAATTTTTTTAAATTAAAACTTATAGTATTATAATGAGACTGCATATATGTTATGCACTTTCACAGAAGAAAATTACGAATACAAAGAGAAGGAAAAAAATAGAGAGGATGTAAGCATATAGCATACTAAGTAACTTCATATCCCTGTATTATTATTCTTTCTTTCTTTCATTCTAAGATAGGGCCTGAGAATTTGAGTATATCTGATGAATAATGCAATAATTCAAGTATGTAATGGCCAGAGAGAAAATGTGCAATATTACTTTACTTTTACTTAAATATATATTGAAAAGATCTTGATAAGAAATACAAGAAATGAAATATATGATTGTAAACAAACATTTTAATTTATGCAGATTTTTATATTCATCTTCTAACGTAAACTCTTGCTATTTACTTTTGTCATTCAGATTTTATTTTTCAGATTTTATTATTTGACACTTTTGTAAAACTTTACTTTAAAATATTAAAAATTAAAATATTATTAAATATTTTATATTTATAGCATAATTATTATATTTCTCAATCATATATATTAATTTTAAAAATACCTTCTTATTTATATTAATTCAATTTAATGCTATTTATATAAAAGATAATTAACACAAGTAACTTTTTTAATAAAATGTACTTGTGTAACATTTACAAAGTAAAAAATATATAAAAATTTCTTCAGTCTATATTATGTATTAAAACTTTACGCAAGTCAATTTATACATTTAGCACCTCTAACAAAGACTCTTAAGACTCCAAGACTCCAGGATGTAATAAAGAAGATTATTGCTCTTGACAATAAACAGTAGACTTCCTTCCAGTAGACGTAAACTCACCAGTTTTCTGTATATGCAAAAAAACCATGACATCGTGAGCATTGATATCAAACTGGAAAGTGTCATTGGCGAAAACATCATCGTAGCCTAGACTGCCCTGGATGCTCTGCAGCTTGAAGGCGGGATGTGCCGAGAGTATGCCATTCCTGTCAACCTCGATGGACACGGAAGACAGAGCGGCGGAGCCTACGGGGATGGACAGGCTCTCGGACACCCTGACGGATTCCTTGATCTCGCGATTGGTCAGGGCGCAAACGTGATCCGGGCAGAAGTAGCCCAGGTAGACGATCCCGGTTAGCGTCAGAAACAGACATACCCCGACGACGCGACGCAAGCGGGCCCTACGCGGATGCCGCGACTCCATCATCACCGTCGTCGTCGCGGACCCGCCGTCGCATAAGTTTACCTCCTTCGCCTCCGCCGCCTTCTCCTCCTCCTCCTCCTCCTCTTCCAACGCGACGAGCACCTCGAGCTCGCTAGTAGTAGCGTCTATCCTCGCATCGGCGCCCGCTCGTCTGCCCATTATTACCCATTATCGTGCCTCCCTGTTCTCGCTCCGGCCTCTCTCGGTCGCTCTCTTGGGAGGATGACAACGTACTGCCGTACACCACCGCTCGCTGATGCGATCCGACCTGACCGTAGCTACGCTCGCCAACCGAGCGTCGGCCATGACAGATGCTCTCGCTCTCTCCGCTCCTTGCTCCTATCGTCCGTCATCGTCTCCCGCGATCCCTGCCGCGCGTCTCGGTTAGAATCTGAACTTTATACCTAGCGTACCTTCTCGACGCGCGCTCATCCTGTCGTGGACATTTACGATGCGAATGAACTATAAGAGTAGGAAAAAAGATGAAAGGCAAAATTAAACTTACTCTCCCTGAAGACTTATTAATGTCAAACCACACGTGTGTGTTTTTTACAAGTATTTTCATGGATCATTTCTCTCATCCGGATTATATAGCGTTATTTATATTATGTTTTGAAAGAGAGAGAGGACGCATAATTACAAGTGAATTATGCTCACTTTAGACGGTCCATAATTCGCGAATTTAAAATGAGATTCAATCTATAATTTTGTGTATATCGTGTAATGCATTTTTAAAATAAAAGAATATATATATATATACATTAAAAGAAATTTATAATGTAAGGTAATAAATGCACAAAACATACGTGTCAAAATGATATAAATAACACGTATAAAATTATATAAATAAATTTATATATTATAAATATAAATCTTAAATTTTGTCGCGAATTATAGATCGTAAAGATGTGACAAGTGATATAAACATATCGGAAAGAAATATTATGACTAAGAAATGATTATGACTAATTAATCTGTAATTTTTTATCATGATGGATGCAAAAAATTTTATTGCACTAACCTCCTCTCTCTAACATGAAGACTTTCCTTCTATTTCTTTTACAAACGTAACGACGTTGCATAAGACCTTTTTTTTCTAAAATAGATGAATTATTAAAAATATTATGTTAGAAATTTAATTTGTGAAAAATTCCTATCAATAAATTAGTCTTCGAAAAAATACAAACCAGACGCTAAATCGGCATATATTTATTTGTTATTAGATCGTCCGTTTATTTGCAATTTCTGCTTCTGCACTCTTAAAATAGAACATTGGAGAGAAAGGAACAAGTGCAGAAAGAGCAAGCAAAACGAATCAAATCTATCGACAATTTATAGATACATTCAAATGGTAAAAAATTGGCGCGGCGCGTCTGGTGTCAAGGCGCCAAAGCGTCTGGTTCGAGACTCGACGGAGGGAGCTACTCAAGTGAAATCACGGACACAATCGCGCGTCCTTCTCGTTAAAAAATGTATTTTTTAAATTGTTTCGAGGGATTGAGTTACGCGTGAAAACATCGAGTGTAAAGTGGAAATGTGCAAAATGACATAAGAGTGCGGGAATACTTGAAGAGACTCGAAATAAAAGCGATCAAGATGAAATTTTCTCGACCGAGCCTGGACAGAGTTTCGGCGGGAAGGAAATGGAAAATTTACACGCCGAGAAAAGAAGGTAAGTAACAAAATTCATTTGCGTGACGAGATCACGATTAAATTAAATAGATTGTGTGAACAATCCTTAAAATTCAGTTCCGTCACAAATAAAATATGTGTTGTAATTTAAAATTTAAAAATTTGAAAACATTTTGTAATCTATTATCTGTAGTAGAATAGCAGTGTTTTGCTTTTAAGTGAAATTTTCAGAGACTTAAATACAATATCGAATAATTTTATCGAGTATTGCCATGTATATTTTGTAATTTACATGCAAATTAATATTCGTACTCGAGTGTATCTGTTATTTCTCAATCTAATATGCGCGGAGTATGAAATATATAATCTTTACAAGAATGATTTTCTATATTAATATTTTATATATTATAGATTTCTATATTATGTTGAAAAATTAATAAAGTTTATTGCCGCATACTGAAATTTTCGAATGAAAAGTTGCTGCTTCTCGAATTAATAATCGAATTAAAATTTTTGTATAGTCACGTGATCACGTGGCTATTGCGCGCGCATGTCGAACGAGTGACAAATGACATAACCTCCAAATCTGTCAAACTTACCAGTCTCATCGAATTGATATTTATAACAACGAGGTAAGTAGTCTCTCGATTTTATCTATTATTGTGTAATTTATGTATTTATTTATGAGAATTGCAACATCTTGAGCGACAAAAATGCAAAATGTTTTGTTCGCACGAAATCTTTAGTTTCATGCGAATTAAACATTTTCCATCTTTGTTCGATGAATATTTATTGAAAGTAGCTCTTTGTAAATTAATATATATATAATTTTAAACCAATTCATATTCTAATTGAGTTAATTTATAAAATACAATTAATGTATCTTTATGTACGTATTTTTGTATTTCAGCTTTTAAAATGTCATCCGTCAAGTTGTTAGAAGACAGAATTGCTAATTTAGAGAAACAAGTATATGGGCTTGGTAAAACAATTAGTATTGATGATCCTGTACCACCAAACGCTATCATCGAACGTCTCCTTGATGTCAACTCGCTACTCTCTTCAGCATTGTCGGGCAGAGAAAAGCCAAATGCACTTATTAAGCGTCTGCCAGAATTAAATGGCTATTTAGAACCTGTTCCTGAAGGTTTTGATATACCTATAAGTGCTAAAGCACAATTGCTGCTAACAATGGAGCCAGAAATTATAGAGAATGATAAACTGTTAACGAAAGTGCAGGAGCTAGCACCTATATTAGAGTCAGAACGTATAAAAAATGTTCCTGAATTAAATAGTACATTTAATAAGATTTCATTGTCGTATCTCAAAGCTTACGAGGATTCTAAAGAATTAAGCACGCATATACATGATCTTTTATCTAAATATAATGCAGTCATAAGTAGTATATCAGAATCACTAATTACTTTAGATGCTGCGGTTACAGCTGCTGAAATAGCAGCTAAACCAAAGAAACAGATAGATGATTGAAAAGAAATAATTGTTTTGTCTAATTAATGTTAATTTATTGTGCAAATCATATTTAATTTCAGTGTTATAGTGCAAATTCAGTTTTATCTTTAATTATTTTAAATTATTTAGTAACATTTTATAGAAACAATTTAAAACAGAAAGAAAATATTGGATATATAATTTGTTTAAAATATGTTTTACTTATCTCATTATTACTTAAAATATAAAGATACACATTTCGTATTAGCTATGCATACATAAACATACTGTTTAATTTCTATAACAATGTATTTTATTAAAATAGTTATAAATTATATATAGTTATTCTATCACTGCTTAATTCTATCCATTGTTCACTTCAGGAATCCTTATTTAGGATCTCTAATACAAACTATTGATTCGTATATAATCAAATATGTATCATATATGTATGAGTGTCTCTTGTGTTAAATAATTGTTTTAAATCGATATATAAAAGTACATTTTGGAAAGATTCGAGATATCACAAAAATTTTTAAATTTTTAGCTTAATTAGGTAATAGTTAATTTCATGTATATATAGTAATAGATAGGAATTTTACTCATAAAAAGTGTGAATTTTAAGAGATTATTTCATTCTCTAATAGACTTTTATATCATGTTATCCATAATAAACAGTTACTTTATACAATATTTACATAATATTTTCTTAATTATAAATCTGTTTATAATTTTGTTATCCTTTATTTTTTTTACATATATTTTGTTATTATTTTTATCCTACAGAATTTAAGTACTTATTTTTCGTAAAATAATACACTATTTAAATTTATATGGGAAAGAAATTTGAAAACTTAAAAAAATAGGAACGTGGACATTGAAAGAAAAAAGAATGCGAATTTAATTAATATGTATGTAAAAATTAAATATGTATAACTTTTGAGCATAAAGAAAGTCGAAATTTTTGTTCTGTTGTGCATTCTTTTTGTAATGACAAATTTTTCTTGCTTATTAAAATTGCAGTTTTCATTTAGTGTATAATTATCGTTGAATATCAGTTTCTCATATATCTCGAGAAATTGATATAATAATTATTTAGCTTCGCATTTGCAAAGCTGGCACTGATTCGCATAACTACGAAAGCGCTGACTCTAAGCTCGAGTAAATTGTTGGATGATCTCTCGAACATCTGCTATGATAACTTAATAAGCCCTGTATCTCCCATCTTCCCGATATACCCTGTGATTCACTGGTACACATTAGTAGCGCTCCTTCATCATTTTGAAGTCACATATTGAATTACATTAATGTCAACTAATTGGCAATATCACTAAAATTCATTATAAATATATACACGCGTTAATTAGTGTATTATATATATATATATATATATATATATATATATGTATATATATACACGATTCCTTTACATATTTCATGTACATGTGGCGAATATTCAGTTTATGAACCGCTTTACAAAATTCTCATCGAAAATGACAGATTTTGTTATATGCCTCAAAGTATGATTATTACTAGCATTTATATAAATTATATATATATTTTGTTATCTTTCATTCATATAATGTAAAATACATCATTTTTTTTTATTTTAGGAGTTCGTATATGTATCGATATGTGATCCAAAATGGATTAATCATGTAGATATAGGACAATATTTTTCTAGATTCGAAGGCACCTATTACATACCAAATGAAAGCCTAGCAGAATATTATCCAAACGATATTGCTGCAATTCCCAAAATACTTTCCAGTCGATAGTTTATATTATTATTATCAGTTATATGTATTATTATTATCAATTATTATTATCAGTTATATGTACATAAAATGTACAATTAGTAATGTAAATATAATCCTGCATAAATAATATTTTAACTTTTTTATTAAGATATTATGTGTTTTAGTGATGAAATTATAAATACAAATTCATAATAATTCATAATATAGGAAATAATATAAGAAATATATTAAAAATATTATATTATCTAAGCATATAATAAACAAGAATAAAGACAGAATTTCCAAGATAAAAATACAACGAACATAGTTTTATTTTCTCGAAGTTATTTTTGAATTTTAATATAAAAATAATTTTAAATGTATTATAATATTTTATAATATATATTATAACGTTGAAATAATCTTATAATTGCACAAATTTAAAATCAAAAGAAATACTATTAGAGCTCAAAATTATTATTATATTTTACTAATTTCTTCTTCGCACTTTATAATAGATACATACATTATTAACGTAATTTTTAAATAGAAATCAAAATCGAATACTAATTTTTGTTTTGAAAAATGTATATATATGTGTATATACAATAGTTTTGTTTATTAAATATCTTTTTGATGATTTAAGGATATTTGTTCTAGAACGCTTCGTAAAAAATGAGAGTTTGTTAGTAAAACATTGTACTTATTATCATGTCATGTACTAAAGCTTAGTTTTAGTACATGACAAACCAGCAAGATGTACGAGAAGTGCCGGTGTTGCTTATTTACAATAAATAAGTTAAATAATAATTTATAATCTCTTTAATTGTATAAAACATTAAAATTAATTATATTTCGCAAGAAAAATAACAAAAAATAAAAACGAAATAAAGAGATACGCGACATTATGTCATACAAACAATAACATGATTTAAAAATAAATTAATGATATAAGTGAAAATTTTATAAAACAATGACAAAAATAATTAGATTTTGTATCTCTATATCATTAATTTATTTTTAATTAAATAATTAATTTAATTAATATAATAATTAATGTAATAATTAATATAATAATTAATTTAGGCAGAAAAAAGGGTCGATTAATATCCCCATGCAACTGCAAAGGGAGTATCAAGCATATTCATGTAAAATGTTGGATAGAATTTGTAGAACATTTATATTCTATTTATGTTCTTTAAAATAGAGGCAGAATGCAGAAAGATTGGATTTCGATTCTATCCGGAATCGATCCCGGCCCATCGAGCCTTTGACTTATTTGTAGATTACGACTACGTTATCTACCACATTCCCTCAATTCTTTCCCATTGAGAATAAATTTATCCAACAATCTCCATATTATCTGATATTAATCGCACTGCTATACTTAATAAGTGACGCATTACTGTACTTGATCAGATTAATTAAAGGATACGTTCCTGAGAAATTTAATTTAAGAAATTGTATTATTTTTTTAAATTAAAATAAGTTGTTTATTTCTTTTTTATTGTTATTAAATTTGCAGTATACTAGATAATATATCTCCTAATAATGAAGAATTCGAGAAATTCGCGATTTCGGAATTTTTACAATCAGTTTCAAACATAAAAGTATATATTATTGCCAAAATATATAATATATTAACAATTTTTATTATTTTATAATCATTTATCTTAGCTTATTATTTATTAATGATGAATGTATCTAATCTGTTTTAGAAAATAAAAACATAAGGAAAGAAAAAAAAAAAGAAAAGAAAAAAAGAAGGTAGAAGAAAGAGGTGTAATTTTTAAAAGAGACAAATTAATTAATTTTCATTAATTTTAATCTTCTTAATATTTAATAAAAATGTATATTATATGTTATTAATATATATATATACATATATATATATACATACATATATATATATATATGTATATATATGCATAATATAAAATATGTATTACATAAATATAATATATTATATAAAAATGGAAATTTAAATTATAATTCAATTAGATAACTTTTGTAAACACTTGCTGCTGAAATGGACGAAAGGTATTTAATACTACATTTAAATAGTACATTTAATAATATTTCAAAGCTTACGAGGATTCTAAAGAATTGTAAGCGTTTACATATATGATTTTTTTTTAAATATAATGCAGTCATAAGTAATATATCAGAATCATTAATTACTTTAGATGCTACGGTTACAGCAATTAAACCGAAGAAACAGATAGATGATTAAAGGAATCATTGTTTCGTCTAATTAATTGTATTATTGTTAATTTATATTGTGCAAGTCATGTTTAATTTCTATGTATAGTGCAAATTCAGTTTTATCATTGATGTTTCAAATTATGTTTCAAATATTTAGTAATATTTTACTATTATTACGTTTCAAATTATGTTTCAAATATTTAGTAATATTTTATAGAACCAATTTAAAACAGAAAGAAAATATTGGATACATAATCTGTTTAAAATATGTTTTATTTATCATTTTTATTTGAAATATAAAAATACGCATTCCGCAATGACTATGCATATATAAACATACTGTTTAATTTCTATAACAATGTATTTTATTAAAATAGTTATATATTATATACAGTTATTCTATTTACTGCTTAATTCTATCCATTTCTTAATTCTGTTTATTTCAGGAATCCTTATTTAGGATCTCTGAGACAAACTATTGATTCGTATATAATCGAATATGTATCATATAAGTATCGGTGTCTCTTGTGTTAAATACTATTTATAATTATTTTAAAACGATATAAAAAAGCACATTTTGAAAATATCACAAAAATATTTAAATTTTTAACTAGATTAGGTAATAGTTAATTTCATGTACATATAGTAATAGATAGGAATTTTACTTATAAAAGTGTGAATTTTAAGAGATCCATTTCATTAATAAACTCTTACACCACATTATCCATAATAAACAGTTACTTTATACAATATTTATATAATATTTTCTTAATTATAAATCAGTTTATAATTTTATTATCCTTAACTTATTATCCTTATTAACATTTTCTTTAATTATGTTTTGTTATCATTTGTGTCCTACAGAATTTAAGTGCTTATTTTCCGTAAAATAATACACTATTTATATAGGATAAATTTATATGGGAAAGAAATTTGAAAACTATTAAAAAAATAGGAACATGAAAATTGAAAGAAAAAATAATACAAATTTAATTAATATGTATGTAAAAATTAAATATGTATAACTTTTGAGCATAAAGAAAGTCTAGCCCAAATTTTTGTTCTATAATACATTTCCTTCTTTTTTTTTAATGACAACTTTTTCTTGCTTATTAAAATTGCAGTTCTCATTTAATGTACAATTATCGTTGACTATCAGTATATATTCTCATATGTCTCGAGAAATTGACATAATAATCATTTAGCTCTGCGTTTGCAAAGCTGGCACTGATTCGCGTAACCACGAGAGCGCTGGCTCTAAGCTCGAGTAAATGGTTGGATGATCCCTCGAACATTTGCTATGATAACTTAATAAGTCCTGTATCTCTCATCTTTCCGATATATCCTGTGATTCACTGGCACACATTAGTGGTGCTCCTTCATCATTCTGAAAGGATATATTGAATTACATTGATATCAACTAATTGGCAATTTCACTAAAATTCATTATAATAAATATATACACGCGTTAATTATTGTATTATATATGTATATGTACATATATTACTAATAATTAGCTAATGTTAAGTGTAATTTTTTAACAACTTTTTTGTCTAAAATATTACTGGTATAAGAAATATATACGTATTTATATAATGTAAAATATTTTCTAATTATCGAATATATTATTCGTTTGGATTATAATTATCGAATATATTATTCGTCGAATATATTATTTGAATGCAATCATTTAATTATTGAGAAAAACAAATTTCGTAATTTGCAGGAGTTTGATTTTTGTTTTTGTTGTATTTTTTCATTCTTTTTTTTCTCTCTCAAATATTTTCTAAATGATTTTTATTTATTGTTTATTTGCGAATTAAAATTTAGATAGTATATTACAAAATATATTATATATTATATTATATATAAAATATTATATATAATATAACCCTCCCACGGGGTACACCTTGTCGCGGTGGGAGGGCTTAGTACTTGGATGGTGCCTTGAAGTTTATTTTAAATTTTTTAATTTAGAATAAATCTCAAGGGGCCTGAAGAGGAAGCTAAGTACCCTTTCGCGTCGTCGGTGCCGTCAACGTGTCGCGGACGGCGGCGTTTTCGCGTTCAGCTTTTTCGCGTTTAGCTTTTCGCTTTTCGCTCGTACCGAAACCGGGAGTGCCGTTTAAAGTATATATATATTAAATATATACATCGCGCGATAAAACAAAAAATGTTTAATCGTATCGAATAGTGCGGGAGTGCCGTTCAGTATCGCGCGTAAAAGTGCGAAAATAGCGATATAAAAATATCGCACGTGAGTGCGGGAGTGCTGCTAAAAGTATCGCGCGTTTAAGACTGAGAGGAGGAGGAGGCCTAGGAGAGGCATCGGGCTTCGACAGAGCAACCTTCTGGTAAATAATTTATTTATTTGCAATTATATATTAAATGTTAAATATATTTATTATAATGTAAATTAAACAATTAATCGCGTAATTTGATTTTTTATTTATATGATTTAAAGAAGAGAGAATTGAAGAAAAAGGTTTTTAAATAAAAACTATAAGCTTGTAAAAATATAAGCTTTTATAAAATTATTGAAGAATAATTAATAATGCTTTTTCTTCTAAAATTTATAGAATTATTTTATTAATCTGCTCTTATTATATGGATCGAATATAAAATTCGATACATACAATAATATTTTTTTGAAATATTAATTATTTTAGACGTTGTTACAATTTAGATTTTCTTTTTGTATGTTATAGATCGCAGCCTTGATGATCTGAGTGGAGGAGCAGGCCTAGGAGAGGCATCTTGCACCGGCGGAACAACCTGATGGTGAGTATTATTATTTATTCTGTTATCTATAAATCGCGTACATATATTAATTTGATTCATTTATTTGAATGATTCAAACAAGAACAAAGTAGGAAATTTTTTATAAAAATTCTTTCTATAAAAGTTTCTACTTAAAAATTAACTATTTCTAAAATTATTTCATATTTATATATTTATTTATAATTACGTATAAAATTTATTCCATATATAATAATAATTTCTTAAAATATTAATTATTTTAAGCGCTATTATAATTTGGATTTTGTATGTTACAGACAACATAGCTTCAATATTAACAACTCCGCTGTTGCGCATCATTACCGGTGAGTACTCGACGAAATTTTTATTTTGAAGCAGTGGATTTATATAAATGCATGTAAATAAATCCGTTGTTTCCTCTTGGGCAGCTATTTTATTTTATATATATTTCATTTAAGTAAATAAAATTTTTAAAATATTATTTGTATATCAATACAAATTTCTTTTTCAAATTTACGAAATTTCACTCTATTTATGTATTAATACATTTTGAAATTAATGAATTAACTTTATTTTATTGTTAGCTGTAAAAATGTTGCCTTATGTTGTGCCTTACTGTTTCTGAACTTAACATATAGAGGAAGCAGCTGTACGGTTTGTGTATTAAAATTATTATGCTGAATAAAGTGTGCTCGAAAAGTATTTTCTTATATTTTAACATATTATAATAACAGAATTAATATAATAATATGAAATATATATAATATGAAATAGTACTTACAGCAATTTTTGAAAGTTCTATCAAAAATATTAACAGAGAAAAAATATAAAAAAGATTAGTATTAAGAAACCATAATACTTAAAGAATAAAAAATGTTAAGTAAAAGTATTAATGATTTTTGATGTTTATATTTTAACGTCATTTATAAATATAATCATGTATTAGTGTATATATATATATACATACAATATATTATTAAAAAAATATATATACATATTACGTCGTCGACTTTTCGTCGTCGGTGCCGTCAACGTGTCGCGGACGGCGGCGTTTCGTTACCGCGTTTCGCGTTTAGCTTTTTCGCGTTATCGCGTCATCGCGTTTTCGCGTTGGACTTTCTCGCAATCCCAATTTCATTTATTTGTCATCTAGTTGTCATCTTCCGACGTCAATTAACTGGGATGTTCATTAAGTCGTTGCTGCAACGATCTTTGTCTCACGCCTGGTGCAACGCGGCACTTAGGTGATGCCGGCGCGCATGCGGATGCCAGTACTGTGTATGTGGGCGCGCGATTTTGAGCTTTTGCTCAAAAGTCCGGCTGATTGAGGTCACGCTCTGCTTCTGGCTCCAGTTCGGTACGGATCGGTTAGGATTCGATCGATTGCTTGGAATCGTCGTTAATGGATCCCTTCTCTTGTTCCGTCTGAGATAGGATATTAGGCGCGGACTAGAGTCGAGTGAACTCCATTCGCGTTGATTCCATCAATCGATAGTTTTCTTCCGTTTCAGACTTAACTCTTGTTCGGAGGTAAGATGCGTTGAATTCCCGACCTGTTGACTCGAAGATGACTCTTGTAAAAGTGAAACGGGATTTTCGCTCGTACCGAAACCGGGAGTGCCGTTTAAAGTATATATATATTAAATATATACATCGCGCGACAAAACAGAAAATTTTTAATCGTATCGAATAGTGCGGGAGTGCCGTTCAGTATCGCGCGTAAAAGTGCGGAAGTAGCGATATAAAAATATCGCACGTGAGTGCGAGAGTGCCGCTAAAAGTATCGCGCGATTAAGACTGAGAGGAGGAGGAGGCCTAGGAGAGGCATCGAGCTTCGGCAGAGCAACCGTCTGGTAAATAGTTTATTTGCAATTATATATATATATATATATATATATATATATATAAATTAAATATTGAATATAAAATATTAATCATTTTAAACACTGCTAATTTGAATTTTATATTTGTGTGTTATAGACAACGTAGCTTCGAAATCGACTCCGCTGTTGCGCATCAGTATCGGTGAGTCAAAAACTTTTATTTAATTTTAAGGTAACGGATTTGTGGAGTTTGTAGATGTGGATTGTAAATATAGATTGTAGATTATAGGTCCGTTACCTTAAAATAAATGGGCTACAAATTAAACAAATTACATTTAATATATATATATATATATATATATATATATATATGTATATATATGCATAATATAATATATGTATTACGTAAATATAATATATTATATAAAAATGTAAATTTAAATTATAATTTAATTAGATAGCTTTTGTAAACACTTGCTGCTGAAATGGAGGAAAGGTTTTAAATACTAATTTAAATAGTACATTTAATAATATTTCAAAGCTTAGGAGGATTTTGAAGAATTAAGCGTTTACATATATGATTTTTTTTTAAATATAATGCAGTCATAAGTAATATATCAGAATCATTAATTACTTTAGATGCTACGGTTATAGCAATTAAACCGAAGAAACAGATAGATAATTAAAGGAATAATTGTTTCGTCTAATTAATTGTATTAGTGTTAATTTATATTGTGCAAGACATGTTTAATTTCTATGTATAGTGCAAATTCAGTTTTATCATTAATGTTTCAAATTATGTTTCAAATATTTAGTAATATTTTACTATTATTACGTTTCAAATTATGTTTCAAATATTTAGTAATATTTTATAGAACCAATTTAAAACAGAAAGAAAATATTGGATACATAATCTGTTTAAAATATGTTTTATTTATCATTTTTATTTGAAATATAAAAATACGCATTCCGCAATGACTATGCATATATAAACATACTGTTTAATTTCTATAACAATGTATTTTATTAAAATAGTTATATATTATATACAGTTATCCTATTTACTGCTTAATTCTATCCATTTTTTAATTCTGTTCATTTCAGGAATCCTTATTTAGGATCTCTGAGACAAACTATTGATTCGTATATAATCGAATATGTATCATATAAGTATTGGTGTCTCTTGTGTTAAATACTATTTATAATTATTTTAAAACGATATAAAAAAGCACATTTTGAAAATATCACAAAAATTTTTAAATTTTTAGCTTGATTAGGTAATAGTTAATTTCATGTACATATAGTAATAGATAGGAATTTTACTCATAAAAGTGTGAATTTTAAGAGACCCATTTCATTAATAAACTCTTATACCACATTATCCATAATAAACAGTTACTTTATACAATATTTACATAATATTTTCTTAATTATAAATCAGTTTATAATTTTGTTATCCTACATTTTCTTTAATTATGTTTTGTTATCATTTGTGTCCTACAGAATTTAAGTGCTTATTTTCCGTAAAATAATACACTATTTATATAGGATAAATTTATATGGGAAAGAAATTTGAAAACTATTAAAAAAATAGGAACATGAAAATTGAAAGAAAAAAGAATACGAATTTAATTAATATGTATGTAAAAATTAAATATGTATAACTTTTGAGCATAAAGTAAGTCTAGCCCAAATTTTTGTTCTATAATACATTCCCTTCTTTTTTTTTTGTAATGACAACTATTTCTTGCTTATTAAAATTGCAGTTCTCATTTAGTGTACAATTATCGTTGAATATCAGTTTCTCATATGTCTTGAGAAATTGACATAATAATCATTTAACTCTGCGTTTGCAAAGCTGGCACTGATTCGCGTAACCACGAGAGCGCTGGCTCTAAGCTCGAGTAAATGGCTGGATGATCCCTCGAACATTTGCTATGATAACTTAATAAGCCCTGTATCTCCCATCTTTCCGATATACCCTGTGATTCACTGGCACACATTAGTGGCGCTCCTTCATCATTCTGAAAGGACATATTGAATTACATTGATATCAATCAATTGGCAATTTCAAAATTCATTATAATAAATATATACACGCGTTAATTAATGTATTATATATGTATATGCATATATATTACTAATAATTAGCTAATGTTAATTGTAATTTTTTAACAACTTTTTGTCTAAAATATAACTAGGTATAAGAAATACATACGTATTTATATAATGTAAAATATTTTCTAATTATCGAATATATTATTCGTCGAATATATTATTTGAATGCAATCATTTAATTATTGAGAAAAATAAATTTCGTAATTTGCAGAAATTTGATTTTTGTTTTTGTTGTATTTTTTGCATTCTTTTTTTTTCTCTCTCAAATATTTTCTAAATGATAATTATGAAAATGTGATGGCATTATTTTCCGGATTATTTTTTTCAAGTATTAAACTTACGTCGCAAGGGCCTTTATCCTTATCAGTCAGTCCTGTGCATATATTGTGTTTCGTGATAAATCCTGGATAATGAATCGTGGCATTACATTTATCAGAGTCATATGTTGGCAAGAATTTGAGATATTGTTGTAAATTTACTTCCCCGTTCATAGAAAATCCCCATCCTGCTGTTACGCAAATCTGTCCCGGCTAAATTATGAAAAATTATCAATATTATATGTATAAATATGTTTAATTAAATAAGAATTATATAAATAGAATATATCAAAAAGAATTTAATCAAGTATGTACCTGAATAGATTGTCTGGGAAGACATACGGCGCTAATGTTTCTGGAAAACGTTAACGGTTCCTCTAATTCGATCAGGGCAATATCATTATCATACAGGAACTGATTATATTTTACTTGAGGATAGGGCACGATATTTTTAACGGATTGCCCCTTCATATCTCCGCCAGCGAAAAATTGCCATTCATTGCTATCCTTGTGCCTATATCAAATCGAAAAAATCATATCATATGATAATATTAAAATATTATATAATATATCAATATATAATATTAATATATTATATGTATAATAACATTCAATATATTATGTATTATATTTATTCTAATTTATGTATATATATAAATTGGAGTAAAAGATTATTTTTTTAATTATATTATATATTATACATCTTTTATATTGAAATTATATAAGATTATATATGTAAATATTAAGTATATTTTGTCAATTATTATTAATTAAGTACGATTTATGTCATCATCAATAAGCACATCACATGTTCATTATACATTTAATTACCTGTAAATACAAGAATAACTGGCCAGGGCATGCATGGGACCGAGTATGCTGGCTGTACAAGTGGTTCCATGTTTCAACTCCTTTAATAAAGCTACGCTGGACCATTGTCCATCGCTGGTTGGCGTTCCACCAGCTAATCTCGCGGTCGGTTCTTCAGCATGATGTAAACCGCACGAAAACTCTTGGCACGATACTTGCAGCACTTTACCCGACACACAAAATTCTACTTGCTCTAGATTCGTGACTAGTGGTAGACGGTGATTTGGATTCGATTTCAGTCTTAGAATTGTCTCGCTCCGATCTTTTTCTGCAGACAGTGGAACGATCTTAGTCGTCTCGGCTGCGGCGAATCCCAAAGTCTGACAATAGGAATCGCTAAATTTTTCGCTCCATCCATCCGAGCAGACTAGTCGATAATCGTTGTCATATTGTCTGCAGAAATATATGTGATAACGTTAACATAATTTATCATAAAACGATTAAATAAAAAATCCGAGATTAGTAATCAGTCCTGCAGTTTGTAGAATCTTCGATTTTTCAAAATCTAATTAATAAGTATTCATTAATTAATTCCGATAATCCGATAAATCATCTTTGTATTTATTTGAGAAAATTCATAATCATGCATGCTTAGATATAATTCATGAATTTTTCTAAGTATCCTGTTAATTTGCGGTTTTGAAAAGATAAGAAAAAAATTAAAAAAAGAACAAACGATTTATATTCATGCATTTGATGTAAATATACCTTATCTTCAATAATGACACGCCATCGCTCGTTTCATTCGCCATATTTTCGATATTAATATTCGTTTCCGTAGTGATATTAATTAGACAACCCCATTCGTCCGAATAATCTGGACAATTTTTAACTCCGTCGCATATTTCGCTCGAGGAAACGCATCCACCAGTTTGACATTTGAATTGATCTGGATCGCAATCGCACAGCTTCTCGTCTTCCCCGCCTTTACAGTCGTCAATTCCGTTGCAACGCCACGTTTGTGGAATGCACAATTTCTCCGTTGGACATAAATATTGATTATCTTGGCAGTTTTCGGTGCAATTGTATTCATCGCGATGATCTTCGCAGTGGGATCGACCGTCACATACCCATGATGCCGGAATGCATTTCCCTATAAAATTAAATTTTATAATTACATTTAAAATACACGATTTTTTAAAATCGTACATTTAATATTTTAATTACTCATGTCACTCAAGACTTATTATTTAATGCATATTCTTTTATGCATATAGAGTGTTTCAAAATATATAATACGCGAATACGCTTTTAATAGCAAATTTTCTGTTGGAAAAATTTGCAGCTAATTTTTCCCTAATGAAGAGAAATAATTTTTGACAAGTTTCAATATTTTTCACTACATATCCTTTGTAATTATAAAACTCAAACTAAAATTTAAAATACGTTCTATTTGAAATTAACTGAAAAGTATAGTTTTATTAATCTCTAATAATGTTTTTCTAAAAAGTTTAATTTATGAAAAGTGTCTTTTTTAAATTACTTATAATTCTAAAAATTTAATTAAATTAATTATAAAAATTATGAATTAATCATTTTAATTAATCAGTGAATTTGCTAATAAAAAACATTAACTGATTTTGAAACATTCTACATAATTCGATCGTCTCACTTACCGTTTGAACACCTGAATTCATCAGATTGGCATTTCGAATTTTCACAATCGCGCTCATCGCTACCATCGTCGCAGTCCACGATGTTGTTGCATACAAAGTGTTTCTTCAGGCATTCTCCGCTGCCGCAGCGGAAGTTACCCGAGCAATCTTCGCAATTTAATTCGTCCGAGCCATCGGAACAGTCATTCTTGGAGTCGCATTTGGCGGATAATGGAATACAGTATGCACCATTTCTAGACGTGCCATTGGCGCATTGAAATTGGCTCGTGATGCATTTCGAAAGAATCGTAGTAGGCATGGATCCCGAGAAGCTGGTGCTAGCTATGATAGTCGTGTTCTCAACATCCATGTCGAATGGCGTGGTTGGACCAACGATCAACCGGATCGTGGACGGCTCTTTCGTAACGCGATCTATTTCCTCGGCGTCGCCGAATAATTGATCCGAGAAAAAAGTGACAGGTTCTCCAGTCGTTTCATCAGGTCTCAAGTGGGTGCGAGAGAGATCCGTTTCTGGGTCGTTTGTACGACCTTCGATTGCCGTCTCGTTCATCGCTGTGCTCTCTTCTGTTTCGAAACTGCTCGGCACGATCGTAGGACGAGTATAATTTCGCATTACTATGTATGGCTCTGTGACCGGTATCGACTCTATTATCTCTTCCGACACTGGTATGAAGCTGGGATAATTCTTAGGTTTCGTGATTACTCCCTTATCTTCGATGTCGCTACCTTCGTCAACGTTTCCCGAATCCTTCAATAATATCGGCGAAACCTTCTTGCTCTCGTTATCTTCTTTCTCAAATACGCCAAATCGGAGTACGCTTGGATCCAAGTCGGAGCTCGCTATACTATCATTCGATTGACCGTAATTTTTGGTAATTATTTTCGACGAATCCGTTTGAGAAAGAATCGTCGAACTCGATTTTTCCGTCAAAGCATTATTCTCACTTTGTTCCTCCAAGCTCAGATCTTTTTCTTTTTTATACTTGTACTTGTCGAATCCCTTTTTGTCGATTACTTTTTTCTTGCTTTCTTGACTCTTTTCCAACGGTATCACTTTAAGTGACTCTTCAGAGAGTTCTGGATCGATAGATATCGATTTCGGGGTCGTGATGAATAACATTCTGTAATTAAACTCTGTTTCAGGCTGCGTGTCATCTAACATTTCCGTAACCGGCCTGACGTCTTCCGTGGTGGTGACATCGGATGAAGTTCTGTCTGTGCTACTTATAACACTCTTTTCAGTCGTAAATATAAGAGTAGTCTCAATCTTCACGTTTTCCGTCGAATTCTCCATCGTTCTGTTCGGATCATTAATATTTTCATCATCAATTTCCCGGTCGGATCCTACAGTTATATTATTCTCGTACATCGTAGTCGCTGTCATGCTTTTTTCCGACGATGTATTGTTTATGTCTATGTCCGTTTCGACACTGGTAACATTCTCTTTCTCATCAGTTATATTTTTTTTCGTTTCATCCTTGACATTCTCTGTGGAAATTTGCGACTTCGTTTTATCAATAACTTCTTGATTCATTTCCTTCTCTTCGCTTATCGATGTTGTCGTTAATATGTCATTCTCTGTCGTTTGTAGTTCCTCGGGCAAGATCGGGATTTGAGCTGTGGTCTTTGTCTCCAGCGTGGATTGAGTGGTCGTAATTTGCGTTATTTTATCAACTTCTTTTTCATCAGGTCGATCAGTGTTCGGTTGTTCCGTATTATTTTCCTCTCGTTTATCATTATCGAGCACAGTAGTAATCTCAGTTTTATCGGTCGCTATTGTTGTCGACATTTCCTGTTGGATTTCTATAGGTAACACAGGTTCTTGAGTGGTCAATCTGGCATCTTCGATCTGTCTTTCCGAGGCGCCTTTAATTGTTGTATTTAATAAACTTTGTGTTATCGTCTCATTTCTTTCTTTTACGTTGCCAGGTGTAATTAATAAAGGGACGCGATTGTAAGAAGTTTTTATAGAATCATCAACGTTATTCAAAATCGCTTCCTTGGATTCCTCCATAACTTTAATTGGAATGTCCTTATCGATATTATCGTGTCGATATCCCTTTGACAAACTTTCATCCGTAATGTCGTTGTATTGGTCTTCTACAGCATTCTCTTCCGGTTTTTCTAAGCTGGTAGTACCACTTTCTATCAAGGAAAGATCTTTTACTTTCTTCTCGGTAATGGTATTAACTTTAGCAGATTCTGACGTTTTGTTATCTGCGGATTGCATTGCAGTTTGAAGAATTGAATCTACTACTTTATCTTCTATCCTCAATGGTATCACTTTCAATGTTTTATTGTCATTCTCTTCCATAATGGAAAAATTGCTTTGTTTCTGATTTGTAGCATTTTTTGTTACATCATCGATATCAGGACTAGAAATGTCCTGTTCATTTTTATCTGATTTTGAAAAATTATTATCTTGATGTAGTATATTTGTATTATTTATAATCTCGCTCATATTTAAATCATTCTTAATAATATTTTTAACGTCATCTGTTGTATTAATGGTTTTTACAGTTTCTTCTGTAATATCTAATTTTTCTTCATTGTTCACCGAATGCAAATTAACATCATTTAATAAATCTTTAGTTTCAGTTTCATTCAATTTACGCTTTATGTCATCCGCATTAATATGTATTAATGGCCGATGTGTTATAACGTCATCGATATGAGTTTCGAAAGGATTAGGAACGTCCTGTTCATCTTTATCCAATCGCGGTGCTTTTCTTGCATTTTCTTTCTCCTTATGGATATCCGGTAAAAAGGGTGACATATCTTCAACGTGTCGATCATCATTTACGTCAGATTTTCCTGCGAAATTTACAGAGTTTTCTGGTAGTATCTCCGGATGAAGAGGGTGATTCGTTGAATGTTGAACCTCATCAGAATGAATGTATTCATTATTATTTGTATAAACGATATTTTTATCGTTACGTACTGTAGATGAGTCGATGGAAAATATATCTTCTTCAGGTTTTTTCGCGTTCAATTCTTCGTTAATCACGACTCCATTATTTATTTCTGTCGAGTTTTCCGTTTTCAAAGATTCGTTCGGTGTGAATTGTACACTTTGTTCCGGGGTGAGTTGTGGAATTATCGCGTGTATTTCTACAGGTTGCTCGGATTTCGATATCAGCATGATGTACTCGTCCTTTGGTGGCTTCGCGATGGGTTCTTTCAGTGGCTCGACATTGTGGACAAAATTTTTCGGTACTTTAGGAAAGATTGTTGTCGGCATATGTTCAATGACATTTTTCTCATTCGAATCCTGCGTATTAGATTGTAATGTAATTTCGGGTACGTGTCCTTTTGAATAATTAGATATCGATTGAGTGGACATGTCAGTAGAGGTAGTTTCTGGTATCATCGTCGTCTCGTGTACCTTAGAATTATTATACATTTCTTGATTTCTATTACCTACATCATTTATTTCTATTGTATGAAAATATTTATCATTGAGCGTGGTCCTCATTATTGATTCTGTTCTGTTCTCTATTGATATAATTGACATAGTAGTTGAATCGAATTCTTTAATAATAGTAGAGCCATCGCTCAAATTTACATTAAGATTTATTTCTGTAGTAGACTCATTTTCTTTTTCTTCCTGAAGACCAGGATTTTGCGTAAATTGTTCTGTATTTGAATTTTCATTTCGAGACTGGTTTGATATAATATCACTATCCTGTTTTAAATCTTCATAACTTAAAGTAGTAAAACTTGCTTCAATGGTCGTACTTTCATTAATTTTATCGTCTTTGTTGGTATAAGACTGCATTGTCGTTAATTCCGTTTTAATTTCCACATTATCGTTTGTATCTATAGATTTATTGTTGTTAAGTTTTGTTAATGTTAAAGGTATTACTTTATATATATCATCATCTATCGGATTTTCACTAGTCTTTATAGTTGTAATCGAAGATTCATCAATTTTGGAATTATTATTTTCACGTAATAAATCTGTAAAAGATTTAGATATGTCAGTTGTATTCGCATCATCTAAAACTGATTTAATAATAGATCCCGATTGATTAGATATTTCGGTATTTGATTCCAAATGTGATTCTGTCGACATTAGATAATGTAATTCTGTTTTCGATGTTACATCATCTGCTTCATCGATAGTAGTTGCTGTTGATTCTATGATAGATACTGGTTCCGTAGTAGTTTCTTTTTCAGTGATAGATTCTGTAACAGATTCGATTTTAGGAACAATTTCTGGTTTTGTAGAAAATTCTGATATCGATTCTGATACAGGCTCTGTAGGCTTAAATTCTGGCGGAACAATTAATTTAACAGTAGGTTCTGCTTCAGTAGCAGGCTCTGGCTCGGCAGTGAGTTCAACTGTAGGCTTTGGTTCAGCTGTAGGTTCTGGTTGAGCTGTCGGCTCTGCTTCAGCTGAAGGCTCTGGTTCAGCTGAAGGCTCTGGTTCAGCTGAAGGCTCTGGTTGAGCTGTCGGCTCTGCTTCAGCTGAAGGCTCTGGTTCAGCTGCAGGCTTTGATTCAGCTGTAGGCTCTGGTTCAGCTGCAGGCTCTGATTCAGCTGTAGGCTCTGGTTCAGCTGCAGGCTCTGGTTCAGCTGCAGACTCTGGTTCAGCTATAGGTTCTGGTTCAGCTGTAGATTTTGGCTCAACAGCAGGCTCTTCAAAGATGGTATCCATCGAATGATGCGAATGTTCGTGACTCCAATTGAAATAATCATTTTCGAAAATGCGTTTTGTTGTCGGTGTAGATTCGGATTGATATATTATCGATTTTTGATCAAGTTGATGATCGTGTTCTATTCTAGATTCCAACGTGGATGTTTCCGTACCTGCTAATCCCGTTTTGAGATCCGGATTTTCCCACGTATTGGAATGTCTGATTTCGAATTCTGCCGTATTTGGATCTCTGCTTCTACCTTGAACAAAATCATGAATTGACTCTGTGCTGGATTGCGGTATTATATCGTCCATTTCGACATTACTCAAGTCGTTATCGACACAAGATTTACCATCCTGATCCAGCATCTTTTCTGGACTGCAGGTACACATGAATATACCTTTGGAATAGTCATATTTACAACTTTCGACGCACTGGAGATTGCCGTGTTCACACTGATCAATAAGCCTTACTACTTGAAGTCTGCTCAAATGATACTGTCCAATCATATTACTGTTTTTTCGTAGTGCCTTTTCGATATATTCTTGATTCTCCGCAGGAGTATCCATAGGTGGATGACTTATTCTGAATTTTATTTCACCTTCATTACTGATATTATACACTTTGATTATGGACTTGCTGTTCTCCCGGTGAAGAATGTTTCCTAGATGCTCTTCTATCTCAGCAGTTGTTTCACGATACACTCGTGATTTGGGATCGCTCAAATCATCACTCCAATTGAAATCGTCCAATCGCAGGATTCCATTTAAAGCATCCGGTATAATTTGATACAGCGTTTCGTCAGTCGTAGGCCATGGTGGAAAAGTCGAGGTTAAAGGTGGTGGACTTAATGGCGGATCTTTTACATATTCTTTATTTTCAGCTATATTTATGTCAAATTGACGAGTGCTTTCTTCTACATTTTCCGTAGGATCTTGTGTAAAGATTACACCAGCTAAAATAAAGAATTTCCAACAATTTTATTTAATATTTAATATTTTAAAAAGAATATATATGTATATAATTAAATTTATTATAAATTAGATCTCTAATAAATATAGATAATAGATCTTAATATATAATAGATTTTTAAATTTTAAGAGAAACAAAATTTATACAAATAAAAGAATGATAGGACATCTTACTTGCAGCCAAAACAATGATAATCATGGCGATCACCACTCCCAATATTGTGAATCCGCAGAGTAATTGTTTCCAGTACGAATTTTTGGACCTTTTGTCTTTCGTGACGTAAAGCTTTTCACCTCTGTAACACAATTTCGATGCCACGTAGAAATATAGCGAATATTCATCGCGTGCATTTAAATGTTTTCCTTGTCTAAACCCAGAAAGCATATTTTGTACAGCGCGATTCTTAGCAACCTTCATCAGTAACCAGCCAATAAGATTAGAAGCTTCCTTGATACATCATACCTCAGTTTAATTTTCTTCACGAGTGCCTAGTTCTTGATCATATTTTGTAACGTGTAATTTATCGCGCATTTTCTCATTTCAATATCTGATTATGGAAAATGATAATAAAACGATGCGAGATTTAATCGTTGTAGTAGCTGGTGTTATTTTTGGGATTAACAACCTCATCGGTTAATCTTACATTCAGTCGAAAATGTCTCATCTCTTTATTTCATGTGAAGTTTTCATTTCCTATGAATTCTTGGATGTACAATCTTTACGGGAAACCATACATATCCAATTCAACAGGGAAGAACGGTAGCGTAAGCGTGTTAATTGCGCGACCGCGTGCCCATAAGAAACACCTAAGTATATTCCGCTAAGAGTTTTTTCCCAGCTTTCTTTCATCCTCGAAAGTAACCGTCAAGTACCTGAGGGCTGTCAGCCAGTGGGAATAGTCGACCAGTCCGGCGGCAGGGTCTCTCAGGCTGAGTCCCTCGCGGCCGACACCCGGGCCCAAATCAAAACGCACTCCAGCCACGGTCGTTTCAACCTCGGCCTCGGGACCCCTGCTAAGTACCGTGACAACAGAAAACACCGTCTAACTCTCTATCGATATGAGACTTTTCAATCACTAGCGGCCAAGCTATACTAGCACTACTGTGCTATCTGCTGGAGCTAAAAACGGCGCTAAGGCATCTCTATCGTGTGACTTTCTCACACCACAGAACAGAAGATACACGCGGTGATACGCCTCTCTAGGAAATATGTCTCTATTTTACATCCCAAACGTTTGTTATATGATAAATGCCTCGCAGTATGGTTTGTGCTGAAGTAGATAATTAAGACGAATTTGTTATTACCTTTTCATAAGATGTAGCTTTAATATTTTTAATTTATGCACAGCGCGTAAGTAATTTTCGCGTAGTGTAGTTTATATATTTTTACATACGATATTTTTCATTTGAATTAATATTTATTAATTTAGATCAAAACTATTTTCAATTAGAAGTATATTTTATGATAAAAGTTTTGTAACGATGATTAAAAATTTTTTTATTATATTTAGAAAGAGAAATAATCCTGGTAATAATTATTAACTTGATATAAGTATGTACTTTGAGGACGAAGATTGTAAACTGTACATTCATCTCTTTTTCTTTTTGTCGTTCTTACCGTGTTTTCTGTTTCTAACATTCGGAAGAATTTACGCACGCCGGGCTGGTAAACGGTAGTCACGAAAAACGGTTAATAAGAGTTAAGAGATAGAGAGAAAAGGAAAAACGAAAATGCGTAAGCGCAGAGACTCGTTTTCTTCGACAAATAACTCGTTACCTTATGTACTTTCGATGCTCGTTAACCGGCACGAAGTATTCCTCATAAGGATCAGCTGGCACCTCGCAAGCTTCCTGACCTTTCGTTTGAATATTGTTACCCGTGTATGGCCTCATCGAGACCAGTTCCAGGTTTACGGCTTCGATCTGTTCCTTCTTTCCAGATTCTGCAGAAAACGGGAAACCGTTTACTCTATTGAGATATATCCGTACGTAGAATGCAACCGGTTTGCATTTTCCGATTGCATAGCGAAACAGCAGAGAAACTGCATTCCTCAAAATACTAATGAGGCTAAACAGGATAAAATATTTTCAAATGGAATAACGAGAGGAAGGCAAACTTGTATGAAGTATGGAAACCACGTTAATCAGGAAAATAGAAAAAAATAATTAATAATTAATGTAAAAAAAAAGTGATTAATAATTCGATGAAATTTAAATAAGACGATATACCCGTAGTTATGTGAAAAGTTGCTATTATTGCCGATTATCAAATACACACGTATGGAAAATTAAATATCATGAGGTGGAAAGAAGATATTATATTAGATAGATTAGTGCGTGTCAAGAAATTCAATGAAAAATATCCATGTGCGATATTTTCTGAGGTTTCTCCTTGATTTTTTCTCGATAAACCGATATCAATAACGGTAATCAAAATGAAAGTCTTACTTGTTGAAATCATTCTGAAGGATAAAATAATAATTTAAAGAAAGTCGATCAATTCTTGCGAGGCAATTTCCAGGCCGTTTCTTTTCTGACCATATTACATATCTTTTTTAAAAATGTGCAAACTTAATTTTTTCTTATGCCGTTATTTATTTTTTAATTTATATTTTCGAGAAAACCTTCGGAGGCAATCTTATTATCGTTGTTTATTACTTTATTATTAGATTATTCAATTCATTAAATGAATTTATGATCAAATAAATTCATAAATTGCTTCATATTTCAAGCTCGTAAATACTCGCTTGTATAACAAGCGTATGCTTATGCTCGGGCGTCAATATGGCAGAGGCTTATCAAGGTACATTTGAACTTACCGTTGACTTGCACGCTCGTAGTGCTATTGTTGAGGAAACTGGCGTCGTTGTTATTTCCGTTTCCGTGGACGCCATTGAGCTTGGGCTCCGACACGTTCTTGTCCGTATTCTCGGCCGGCAACTCGATCCTCGTTTCCGTTTTAAAACAGGGCTCCGAGTTCGCTTTGATAGGCTCAACGTAATGCTGAGAGATGAAGGATCGCTGGCCATTTTCTAGCGGCGCGCAATCCGCCGGGGAGGACTTGCGATCCTGATCCAAGGTCACTTCTCGCTGTTGACCGCCGTTCTCCGCCTTGGAACCGCATTCGTCCTCGCTGGCGAACGCCGGATTGTCCGTGCCAGCGGCATCCGACATCTCTCGATCGTGTCGCCAAAAGCTACTGAACTCTCACCTAATAACGTTCACCTGATATCGTCTGTCATGCGTCTCGTTTCTGTAATCAAATCACGTTATTATTTATCGCGGCAATTATTTATTTTTTAATTTATATTTTCGAGAAAACCTTCGAAGTCAATCTTATTATCGTTGTTTATTACATTATTATTAGATTATTCAATTCATTAAATAAATTTATGATAAAATAAATTCATACATTTTTTAAGAGACTGATTTCCATTCGTTCAGTATATAAAATTAATTGGATTTTAATTTAACTGGTCTCGTTTGTCGAAGTTTTTTCTAAATGTTCTGCAAGTTCTTTCAAAATGTTGATTAAACTACAAATTATTAAATAAACTTAATTTTCATTAAAATTACTATAGAATTTTGGTTATCGAATTAATGTGCGAATCATGCTAATGATGTCAGCGGTAGGGAAACGGACCTGTATTTTTTCGCACGAAACGAAAGAGAGAAATGTGAGAATTATGTATGTATATATGTGCACATAAGTGTGTGTGTATGTGTGTGAGAGAGAGATATATTTTGTCGGCTTATTCTATCGATATCCTCACAATTTATCGAACCCGTTCGCCGAATGCAAAAATCAATTACGTCTTAACGCTGACTCAATCGCGGCGCGAGACTGTTGAAAAAGAAGGAAGATGTTTGCGGTTTGATCGCATCTCGCTGAATTGTTTCGGCTGGGTTCGGGATGTCAGGAGTGAATCAGCACTGAGTGAATCGCGATGAGAAATTTCGTGAGAAACATCCTCCGCCACGTTTGCAAAGACGAATTCGCTATACGCTATACGCTCGTCTCTGTCTCTATTTCTTTCTATCTATCTCTCTCTCTCTCTCTCTCCCTCTCTCTCTCTTTCTTTCTTCCCCTTGTTCTTCGTGCGTTTCCTGCGAACCTCCCACCATTCTCAATCTCTCAATCTTTCGCGCGGTAAAGTCTATTTGGATTATTTTTTCGGCTTTGAACAGCGTCGAGCCAATAAACTGACGGGATCTGCCGTCAGAGAAAAGAAACAATGAGACTTAGTCCCTTTTAACCGCTATAGGAACTCGACTATGGAAAGCATCGTCATTCCTCTCGAAGCAACCACTTGGAATGAATCTCTTCAAACCTTTAAGAAATAAATAAATCGCGCTAGCTCTAATGAGCTTTTAACGCGGTAATTCCCATCTTGTTTTTTTCTCGTTGCTTAATGCGCACGCGATCTTTTTTTCTTATTGCATTATTATGTATAGTTATGTACAGAATTCAAGCGATTCAGAACGCATGCATCGTATCGTTACATAATACAATATATAAGTCTAATTTGTTTACAAAAAGTATACGTAGACTAATGATGAGAATAAAATATCGAAGAATAACAAGGACACGCATCGATAATTTGATTCTTTTTCAATATAATAAATTTTTCTAGATTTTCTTTTTTTTTCTACATTTCTTGTGTCTTTATCTGCTTCATGTTTATAATTAATTAATTTCTTAATTAGAAATCGCTTAGCTATTACATGATTCTTTAAATCATATAATAATGTAATTTAGAAAAAATCATATAATTTAGAAATAATTATATAATTTAGAGAAAAATGTTACTTCGATGTATTTTCCTCGCATAGGAACACAGTTTCCAAGATTCTTCATAGATTCGTTTTATGCATCCACTTGTTTGAGTAACACGAATTTCTGGCCGCACAAGTTTGATTCTTATCCTTCTAAAGGATGCGACCCTCGAAGAAGCTAGCGCGATGAGTCAACTAGCCGATATCTAGCTAGCTAGAAGTACTTGACTGTTAGCTATATATGCGGTGATTTTCAAGACACCCTGTAGGCACGCTCGGAACGGACGAGCGTGTGTTTGCGAGTATCTGTGTACATATAAACCGTGCGAGGTATATACTGCACCGAAAGTGGTTGACCCTGAGAGAGCTCGGCATAAAGGACTGATTCACCCCGGAGCTAACGCGGAAAGTCCTCTCGAGGAAGGAGCTCGACGTTTACTTGGCTCGATTTTGTGCACGATCTCTCCTCCGTGACATAATCTACGCAAGCAGTATATTAATGATTTTCAACCTTCAAACAAATCACAAGAATTGTGATCGAATATTCCATAGCTCCTTTTAATACATAGATCAGGAAGCTTTCCGTCATCTCTTTATCGAACGAGCAATAAATATATTATTATGGCAGGGTTTTTATTTTCGTTTATTTTGTACTTTATTTCTATATATTTATTAGCAACAAAATTGTGGTAATAACAATTGCGGAAATTTAGTTTATAATATTGTATTATTTGTATATTAATAACTCCTGATACTGATTTAGAATAAATAACGCTATATTAATTTTTAATGCAATAATAATCTTCATACAAGGTAACACTCTTCACACAATTGTTGCCTTTTACCTCAAACATACAATTACTCAAAAGTGATCAATTAATGAATCAAATCCTTTCTTTCCACCTGTCATACATCAAGTCAGTATATAATCTAATTAAATGTGTATTTCGTTATATTATCTTTTTCTCGCATCATATTTACTACACTTATGTTCTGTTACAAAAGAATTCGATGTATCTTACATATTTCAGTGAAAGCGTCTTACGTTCGTAAAAAAAATGCAATCGTAACATCGTTAAAATTCCATATCTTTAGTTTCTCAGAGAATTTATAATTAGATAAAAAAGCTTTAACAAAGTAATCTAACATATGTGTGACTTAACATATTAAAAATTTATTACATACAGAGTTTTGTAAAATATTTTAGCATATAAAATATTCATTCTTTTTTAACTAAATTATTTCCTGATACAAATATATTTATATCATTAAATATTCTTGGAAAAAATATATTTCGTTAATAAATTCAAAATAGTATAAACATATACTATTATAATCTAGATACAGAATGAAATTATTCGTAATTCGTGAGATATCTATAGATATAGAATATTAATTTTCGCGTAAAAATGATTTGTAGAAATGTAGGACAATTAAAAAATTTCTACAGTCTTGCTAAAGTTGTATTATAAATTATATTTTATCCTGAATATTAATATTAATATTAAAAACGCTTAATAATTTTACAACATTAATAAAATCTTATTGAATACCTAGAATCCTAGAAAGAATTTAAAATAAAAGACATTTTAAAATATGTAGTTCGTTAGGCAGTCATTTAGTTTGTATAAAAGATAATATTTCTCATATACAATTCTCCGTTAGATTGCTGGGATAAAAATTTTAGCTCCTATGATTCAACGTGACTAGAATTAATCCGCTTGAAAGGCGTGCATTTGACTCGCGATTGCGCTCGCTGGATATAAAGCGAGATAATTGTATATTAAATTGTATTAAAAAGTCTCGGGGATTTGCGAGATAAATATTTATGCACATTGTGGCGAGCAGATCGCCAGGAACGATCCATATCGCTGCTGGTCCTTTCCTTTGAAGAAGGACGAGAAGCGTATCATCAGTCTACCATGAAGCACGCGATTATCCTCGAGCTAAGAAAGATTCCTCGTCGTTAAAGGACATTCTTCAACGCGACATTGCCTGTGATTTACGAGACTCGCTCTACCGGGCTCGAAGACTTTCACCTTGATCGCAATCGCGACCGAATCTTGCGTAACTTTCTCTCTTTTTAGCATTATCTATGCATACTTGCCATTCGTTTAAATTCAAATTACAAGTCAATATCATGTGACTTGATGTATAAATAATTTGTTCCAATATTATATATAATGATACAAGGTATCGATTAATTTGTTGGTAAAATAAAATTTGAAATTACATGTAATTTTTACCATGGGAATTGTAGTGTATAATTCAAATATAATTCAAGACAATGTCTAAATTACTTGAATTATTGCATTACTAAAAGGCAACTTCTGTATTAGCATTAATGATTAAAGGGACAGTGGAAAATGACCGTAAGAATCACGACAACAGGACAGCACGACAGGAAGACCATCCACCTTTTCCTGCCTCTGTTTTCTAAATGTTTCAACAATCCACTATTACATTTCTTAATTCGTGATTTAAGTTTATATAAGAGAGAAACACACTCTCTCAGTGATTTCAATATATATATTCTCATTGGGGTAAGAGCGATTGTTCGCAAGCTCTAATGACATTTGGTTCTTAGAAATTTGCATTGGTGATCTCAAGGACAATTTTTTATTCGATAAATAAAACCAATTGCAACGGTTGGGATAGAATTATTATTGCGATTTGCGATCAAACTGATGGCGTATTTTAATATCGCGTGTGCGCCAAAGACCAGTTCTGCTTGTTTTCCCTATACACTTCATTGCCTGGACCTTCGGAACGGTTGAATGTTACCGATGTCCTTAGGCTTGCAAGTAGAGACAGTCTTAGACATTCGAAACGGAATTTCTTGTACTTTATCTCCTAAAGGTCCAGCGTGTCAGCCAGATGTAACCGGATGTATCAGTCATTCGATACCTCTATATCAGTCAGAAAACTGATCTTTTAATAATTATATCATATTGTGAAATAATATAATCTTCTTTTTATAGAAGTATTGTTACACCCGCGGATCATAATCGAAGCATGTGACACTCGCAACACTCTCGCGAAATAAAAAAACACTTTATTAAAAAATAACAAAAACTTTGATAAAGCACAACGCAGAATAGTACAATAACACAAAATACGAAACACATAATTAAAATACGCAAATAGTCGGAGCCATCCGGAAACGCATACGAACCGTCTGACAGCTCGCTCGAAACTCTCTTGTCTCTTCCTCTTGACTCTTCCTTTAACAAAACGTGTTAGGTAATGATTTTTAACACCGAACTCAGGGACGTAATAGTATGCTTTAATTCTTGCGAAATTTTATTATTTTTAATATACAAGGAAGATGCAGAAAATTGAAAAATTTTTTAAATATTATTTATGATTTTAAAAAATTGAATATTACCTAAAAATTAATTATTATGTCTTTATATTTGATTGAAATGATATTAAAACGATTTTCAAAAACAAAACATTGAAAAATATACACATCTT